ACAGCTGTGCCACATTGGCGGCACAAACATCAGCTGGGCCCACAAAGAGAGGTGCTGAGGTGAGGTGCTGCTGGAAAGGGGCTGGTGCAGCTTTCCAGCACCATGCAGGACCTCTCAGGGTCACTTGACAAGGGACACTTGTCAAGTGTCATTTTGACCCATTTGGAGCTGTCCCACCTCCCAGCAATTGATGCCCACATGGGGCACCTGGAGACAGGATGCAAAGGACCAGCAGTGGGGACAGACCCTCTTCCCAGCACGGCTCGCCCTGATGGGACCTCTAGAAGGAATTACCCGAGGAGGGCTGGCAAGAGCCTTCCCACCCCATCCATCCCTGGGGCATCCCACCGCCTGCCCTGGGACATGAGAGTGCCCCAGACTGCTTCTCGCCAGCATCTGGTCTTGCATCACCCCGCAGCTGTATGGCGCAAACGCCCTCATTTCCTCCCGCTGAAGGAAGTGGAGACTGGCCGTGGAGCTCGCAGGGTGCTCACAGATGCACAGAGGGGTCTAGAGATGCTGGTACTGCCTGAGGCCATCCAGCTATCTGGGAGGGCTTCAGCCACCGGCCCACACTGGCTCCCACCATGCAAAGTGGGCCCAGGCCACCAGCTCCAGCATGCTCGGGGGCAGAGATGGTCCCCAGTGTAGCATGCACCAGCAGCGACTTGCCCTGGCATACAAGGACAATGCACAGCACAGCCTCCACGTGCCTCCACGGCACTCACAGACACTCATGGCTCAGAGCCTGCATGGCAGTGCTGGCCGCAGCCTCATGGGAGGAAGCTGTCATTGTCCGCTTCCTGGTGTCCCCTCCTTGCCCAAGCTGGACACCAAAGCCAGGTTTGTTTCTGGGCCAGCGTGGCAGGGACAGTGACTTGTCCCCAGAAGATGTAGCAGAGCCCAGCATGGGCTCTGAGCCAGCCCCCTGGGCTGCCCAGCCTGCGGCTGGTGCGGGAGGGGGGTGAGGCAAGGGACACAGCGGCACTGAACTTGCTCTCTAGAAGTTTCCTCTTTCCTGAGCAGGACAATTGTCCTTCCACTGTCTGTAGCCAAAACGAGGTGGGTTAGTACTCCTGGAAAGACCCTCTGTTTGTAGAAATCCCCTCCCACCATGCCTGGCCAGACCCTTCCGGACCTGCCATGGCTCTGCCCTGGGTGCAGGCAGGCATGCCAAGCCCTGGCCCCACTGCCTGCTGCAGCACCCTGGCCCACGCACGCCACTTTTTCCATGCTGATGGATGTCTGGTGCTTTCTCTCTGCCCCAGCAGCTCTTGCTGCTGTCTGGCCATCCTTCCGATCCCCCCAGTTTTTGGCTGCCGTGGGGTGCAGAGCGTGCTGGGCTGTGTGGGATGTGGCATCGCATTCAGGCTGGCTCTTACCTGAGATCTCCATATCATCCAGGCTGGGCTGCAGGGGTGCCAAGTCCGGCTGTATCATGTCAGCATTCCCAACGTATGCTGGAAGAGGGCAGAGCTGCAACACTGGGGCCCAGCCACTGCACCCCAAGATCCTCCCTCAGGGCTTTTCCCATAACTGACCTCTCACCTGCCTGGCTGCCACCACTCCATGGCACCCCAGAGTCACCCTGCATTGCTGCACCCTGCCCTGCAGCTGTGCATGGGCAGGGAGATGGGCACCCTGCCCTGCAGAGACCCAGGGCCATTGCATCCCCACCACTCTTCCCACCAGCACCTCTGGGAGCTCATCCAGCTTCCAGGAACCCTAGGGAAAGGCTGATCCTTGTCGCAGGACCTGCCTGGTGCTGCAGGAACTCCAGGGACCTGGCCAGGCAGGGACAGCAAAGAGTGGCCATGGAAGGCAGGACCTGCCTGCCGCTTACCCATGGCTGGCAGCCCTGCCCTGGGGTCTGGTGGAAGGTTCTTCATGGGGCTAGTGCTCCCCTGACAGCTCAGCCCATCCCACCTGGGGCAGCCCGAGCTGGTCTGTAGGGAGTCACTGGAGGAGGGGATGCTCCCACCCTGCTCAAATGGAGTTCTCGCTCTGTTGGGGCAGGGCAGGAGCCTCATCCTGCCCCAGCAGGAGGGATGTCAGAGGATCCTCTGTGCCCAAAGGACACAAGCAGCAGCTCTCGGGGGCTAAACCAAAGGCAGCAAAGTGCTATGTGCAAAGTGCGCTGCCTGCTTGGAGCTTCTCCTCCACCACCAACGAGAGCATGGTCTGGGGCACGTACCATCCTCGGGGAGCGCCTGGTGGGTGCTGGGAGTCTGTGTCATGGTGAAGAGGGTGTCAGAGATGTCTGAGAGGAAGGTGTCCAAGTCGAAGTGCTGCCTACCCCCTGGGTCCTCTTCCTCATCCCCAAGCAGCATGGGCACCACGTTGCAGAAGAGCTGGTTGCACCATTTCTCTGTTGGCCTCCAGACATCCTCATCCTGCATGAGATGGAGCAAAGGAGCCAGGTGGGCACCTCTCATGGGTAGGGTCCATGCCTGGCTCCCCAGCTGCTCTCTCTGGCAGCTCCCATGCTCCCTGCAGTGTTAACTCCAAAGCTTCACACCTCACACTTTGGTTCTTCCAGAAGGGTGAATCCATTATCCCAAGTGCTTGGCATCCCATCCCATTGGGCTCGTCATGCCCTGGGGCTTTCATCTGCCCTTCTTCCAAGCTGCCCAGCACAGGGGTCCACATTGCACCCCTCCTTTTCCCCTGCTCCCCACCTTTCCCCAGTGGACTCACCTGCTTTGGGCTGGAGAGCTCTCCCTCCCGGGTGGACTTTCGGAGCTGGAAGAAGACAGCCTGCGTCACTCCCCAGCCAGGGTGGGCACTGTGTGGGGCAGACCCAGGGGCAGGGCAGAGGGGGGCAGCACTCAGGACAGGTGTCCCTGGGGGGCTCAGTGTGGCCACCACGAGTTCACATCTGCCTTTACTCTACAGAGTCTGGGCTGTGTAGCTGCTGCAATGATGCGACTGGCAGTGTGTGGCGGTGAGAGGCTGCCAGCACCCTGCCCACTTGTGGCACCCTCGGCCTTTATCGGCCCCGAGCAAGCGGCTGGGAAGGAGGCTGGACCATGCTCCACCCGGCATGGCGGGTGGCCAAGGTTGTGGTGCCAGCATGCCTGAGAGCGGGCACCTGGAGTGACGCGGAGCCACCTGGCCTGCCTGGCAGCACGTGCTGCCGGGGTGAGATGTGGCTGCCAGCAGCGTGCCAGCAAATCCTAGCGCAGCCAGAGCGCTGTGGGTGAGCCGTGGATCTGCTTGACCCACCCCAACGTGTCTGCTGTGAGTGCCCTGCTAAACCCAGCCCCAGATCGTGCACTGGGAGGGCTGCCAGAGCACACTGCAACACTGTGAGCAGCTGGGGATGCGATCCCCACCGAGCTCCCACTCACCGGCACCATGGGGACAGCCAGCATCCCCCTCTCATGCTGGCAAGAGCCTGCTGCATCCTGCTCCCGGTCGGCCATGGCTCTAGGTTGGGCATGCTGATGTCCTGGTCCCACTGCTGGCACTGCCATGGGATGGGGAGTAGCATGGGCAGAGACACTCACCCGCTTCTTGTAGTAGATCCTCCACTTGTGGTACTCCCTCATCACCACCTCGATGCGGCGTTTCCAGTAGTTGCCCTCCAGCACGACAGCCTGGGGGGGCAGGACAGGGGGTCATGGCTGAGCCCCCCAGCCCCAGCACCCCACAGCCAGGGCTGGTGTCCTTGTGTCATGTCAGAAACATCTTATCCAGCAAAACTATGAAATATAACGAGCTCTGCCCCCTGTATGTCCCCAGCTCCCACCTGTGACACCCAGACCTGCTCCTGGCCCAGAGAGCTGTAAGGGACCATGCCCTACCTCTGGTTTTCGGTGCTCATCAGCCTCTGACCCCTCCAGTGGGGTGATGAAGCCGCACACAGGGTTCTTCCTCCGCTCCACATCTGCACAGGGGAAAACACAGCTGGCTTTACCCATGGCTCCATCCCTGGGCAGGGGAGGGTGCCGGTGCACTCATACATTGCTGCCCTGGTGCCAGCTCCATCCCACCCAGTATCACCCGGCACTCGGCAGATGGAGTGGGGTCTGGCCCCATACTCACACTGGATGTACCATGCTCTCCAGATAGCGTTGTTGAGACGAATTTTATCCCGACAAAGGAGCCGCAGCCCCTTGAAATTCTTCCATTTTGGAGACACCAGCTTCCCACTAAAACACCAAGCAAAGGAGAGGCTGAGTGGCATCATCACAGAGCCCTCCCGGTCCAGGGTCTCCCAAGGGGGCTGTGCCTTGAGAGATGCCCAGGGCCACCAGCCTAGTGGCAAGTCTGGAGCAGGCACAGCTGTGTGGCTCCACTGCAGGCTGCTTGCCAGGCATCTATGGGAGCACCCATGGGAGCACCCACAGGAGCACCCTGAGCTTTTCTTCACCCTGAAAGCAGGACAGACCTAAACCGTCAGCTTCACAGACCCACACAAGGCTTCTCGAGACCCTGGGATTAAAGCAGAGCACATGGGGGAATTGATTCATTGAGGCTCAAACCCTGGGTCTGAGGTGGGAACCTGCTGCCACCAACCAGGACAGCTGCGTCCCGGCCCCAGGGGACAGGAAGCGAAGTCTCCTGCCCAGGCGAGATGCGTGGGGTTGCTGTGTTGCTGTGGTTCTTGCCTCATTGCAGCACTTGGGCAGGCGAAGCTTGGAAACACTACCTTCAGCTGGGGCAGGCACAGGCAGTGGCGCAGGCCTGTGTGGGTGGGCCATCTGCGTGGGTCTGGGAAGGCAGGACAGAAAGCTGGAGGATGTTAAGGACATTAAGGGACGCTTGCCTGTGCCCCAAGACAAGCGGGACCAGCCCTGCCCTCAGCCCAGCGCTGCCCTGGGCTCTTCTCCATACCCATCCCTGCAAACCTGTGCCCCTCGCCCTGGCTCCTTACCATTTCCCAGCTCCTGGAGGCAGCCGTGTTTGTTCTGCAGCTCATGGTGGCCGTGATGTCCCTAATGGGACCTGCAGTGTGGGCAGCCTCATTTCACTAATCACCTTGTTTCCTTACAGCCAAGGGACACCAGCCCCTCGCGTGCACCCACTGGGGAGGTCCTGAGGGTCCTACTGCCCCAGGAGATCCGCAGGGGAGGCTGGGGTCTCTCTGCCTTACTTTGAGGTCTTTTTCACCTCTTCCTGAGAGCCCAGCGGCTGCCCCAGCTCTCCCACCCCCCAGAGCACGGCCTTGGGGCAATGCTGGCTGCATGGGGTGGCCCTTTGAGAGCAGGCTGGAGGCTGTATGGCATCCCTCCCCAGGAAGTTCACGTTCCTCCCCAGCCAAGAGTTTGTTCCTTAAAGATCTTGGTGCTGCTTTGGATCCCACTTATCCTCGTCACGTGCAGGGAGGAGGAAAGGTAGAGGCTGGGCTGGGTGTAGGGGTGCTGTATCCCCCCATTGCCAGCATCTCCTCGGGGGCTCCCCAAGGTGCCATCGGGCCGTGTCCCCAGGGAGGTGCTGGGGCTGAGAGCAGTGCCCAGCTAATGCTTTAGGAAGCCGTACACTTGTTCATTCAAGCTTGTGAAACCTTCGAGCACCCTTGAGCAAAGACTCTGGCCAATTCTACATTAACCTGCCTTGAAATCTGCCTCCTACGGCATGGCATGGTACGGCACGGCATAGCACGACATGGCAAGTGTGGCTCCGTCCCTCAGCAGCTGTGCCAGCTCGGCTTGGAGCTTGTCTCGGAGCTCAGCGTGGAGTTCCCCCAGCCCAGTGGGCAGGTGGCTTGTTGCAGACAGGGTGCTGTCCTTGACGCTAGAGCCAGGCAGCCGAACAGGCAGCAGTGCAGGCAGTGAGACCCCTGTGCTGGTCCTGCACAGCTCTTCAGATAGAGTGTGCCGGGGCAGAGGGGAGAGGAGAGTGCTGCTGTCCCATCTCGCTGTGAGACACAAGGACCGTGGACCCATCCAGCTCCAGGGCTTGTCTGGGAGCGGGTGCTTCCACCCGCAGGGGTGGATGGGGACAATCTCCCCAGGAAGACCCAACCAGACCCACAGCCCCAGGGGCTGGGGAAGGACCCGCGTGCCCGCAGCTCTAGCCTGCAGAGAGTTAAGGAGTTGGCCACGCGCTGGCCACTCCGCTATCACCAGGATTTTGAACTTTCCCCAGCAGCAAAAGGCAAACAGCGCAGTGGTGCCAAGCAGAGGAGCCAATAGAAGGGATGGGTTTCCTGGGCACATGGCCAGATCCTGCCGGTCAAGGCTACATGGCCATGCTCCTCACTGGTGCTGCCTGCCCCACCACCGGCTTAAAGGAGCAGCCCAAGCCCGCGGACTGCAGGCTCCTCAGCCACACTCAAGGCTGGTGGGGCCATGGCCACGGAGCTGCTGTAGGACCTGGAGGGAGAGGGGAGGTGTCTTTGGGCTTTACCACCAACTGCCTTTATTCCCCATTAACGAACCTTTCAGTTTTGGGGCTTATCAGGCTGATCTTTGCTCTCTGATTTGCCTTGAAAATGGCCCCACCCTTCCCTGAAATTATCTCCTCAGGGAGATGGATGTAAACCCGCGCTGAGCTGCAAGAAGCGTTTGGGATGCCCCAAACAGGCTGGGGGTCCCACTGCCGGAGGAATGGGGACACAGATCCCACCACTGGCTACAGGGCCTTTGTGGGACGGGGTGAGGTGGGACAAGAGCTCAGCCTGGGACCAAACCCGGTGTGGGTCAGCACTGTTTTGTCCAGTAGCACCTTGTTTGCTCCATGATTCGTTTAGTTTAAGGTGTTGTGACCCTTGCTTTCATGGCAAAATGAGTATTTTGCTCTCCATCAACAGCAAGAGGAGGGGAGGAGGAACAATCTGGCGAGATGCAGGGCTGCACAAAGAGAAACGGGCAGCAGCAGGAGGGGAACAGCTAATCAGAGGGTCCTTAGGCAAGTACAAGCCTGCTCAGCCTCCCCAAGCGCAGCAGGAGCAGGATTCCCTGTGGAACGTTTTTTCTTGAATTCTTATGTTTTAAAATCCCGAGTTTGAGAAGGAAAGTTAAAAATCATACCACAATCTTCCAGAAAAGTGCCCCATAAGCAAAAATGGACTGTGTTTAAATCCAGCTTCAAATCTCTGCTATCTGACTGAGCTTTTTTCTTTTCCGCCTGGTGCTGATGAAAAGGCTGCCGGGCCAGACCTGCTGCTCGCCAGGCTGCCTTGGGAGTGAGCAAGCTCTGCCCCGGCAGGCACAGGGGCATCTGGGGTAATGCTGGTGTAGCAAAGGTATTAATAGACTGTACTGGGGATTAGATAGGGACCCACTCTGTGTATTTAATCGCAGACAGCAGGGCCTCTGCCCTTACAGCTCTGCTTCTCAGGCAGCTGTTCACCTCCGTGCAAAGCGAGCATGAAGTGCCCCAGATGAGAAGGGAAGTCGTTTAAATCCTCTTGCAAATAGTTGTCGGGGAAGCTGGGTAGCTGCAAGTTGAGCTAGGTAACATCTCCACAACCAGTTATTTTGGTGATATCTGCAGATACGGCCCCACTGTGCATCAGCATGGGAACCAGCTTGCACACCAGCCCAGTTACTCTGCACGCTGCTTGGACAGGATCAGCCCCTCTGCCTGGGTGCTTTCTGCCCCTGCGCATGAGTTTTTAAGGCACTGTGAATTAGAGAATCAATTAGAGAGTATGGCAAAGCTATAGCAGCAATTCCACTTTTGCTAGGAAAACCTCAGTGCCTGCTATCAGCTTGCCAGGATGAATCAGTAGGGAATTGGCATGCGAGGTTGTAATCGAAGCCTGCCTTGTTTTAAACCACAAGAGGGGCAGAGTTAATATTCCACGTCACTTACCAGTCTGATGTCCCTACCTGCTAAATCTCCCCTCTGTGTACTTGCAGGGGAGAAGAGGATGTTAATCTATCTCACATTCTGGGAACACCTCCAGGAGGCTTCTCCTGAAGCACAAGATAGACGAGTGCAAGCTAAGACCTCAAGTGGCTGCAGTTTGCAGTTCCCATTTGCACTCAGTTTTTCTCCCTTCAGGAGGACACTTCCCCAGGTCAGTAACCCAATGATTGCTTGCAATGGGTCCCAGGAAGGTGGGCGAGCCCAGGAGACCCGCTCTGCAAGGCAGGACACTGGGGAGTCACGCTGTGGAGATGGGGAGGAAGACCTTGCTCAGCTGGGGAGATCGTGCTAAGGCCGAAGTGTAACAGTTCCTGAAGGAGCTCAGCTCCACATGCTCAGCTTTTTGGGGGAATGTTGGGGGGGAGCAAGCATGCTTCAGGGATGTTCACCCACAGAGAAACACAGCAGCCGAAGGAAGGGATTCAAGAAATGCAGAACATTGCAGGAGGAGTGGAAGAGAGTCATTAAGTCTTTGGCAGGAGAGGTGCTGTAAGTGTCCTGGAAAATGGGTACAAGGGGCCTGGGAATTGCTTCATCCCAGCACCAGGAGCAAGACCTTGGTGGGGGGACTTGCCTCCATTTGAGGGATCTGAAGAAACAAGTTACTGCTAGAAGCAAGCCTTGATGCGGAGACAGCGTTTCTTTCCCAGTGAGGGGGTGACGCACAGTCCAGACTGTGGAGGCCATACGCCAGATCCTCAGGGTGATCCTCAAGCTAAGACAGGACTGCCATAAATGTCCGTGAAGTGTGGTGGAGCAATGCTGGAGAGAGGATGACTTATAGCTATCCAAATGACTGTTCAGCCCTTGAAAAATGATACCGTTTAGAGAAAATTTAGTGTACTTTCTTGGAAATGGTGTAAGCCTGGACAGCAAGGCATGGGTGGCTGCCACAGTCACAGCTCAGCCAGCAGGTCAGAAGAAGGGATGGTTCCCCTCTACTCAGCACTGCTAAGGCCAAGTCTGGATATTGTGTCCAGATTGGTCCCCCTGATAAAAGAGAGAGGTTCACAAACTGGAGTGATCCTGGAGGGGGATGTTAAGATGGTTGGGGACTAATGTACATGAGAGAAGAGGCAGGTGAGTGATGGGTTTGTTCAGCCTGGAAAAGAGAAAGCGGAGAGAGATTTTACTGCCTTCAACTACCCAAAGGAGGCTATAGAGGAGATGGAGCCAGACACTTCTCAGACATGCACCAAGAATGGACAAGAGGCAACGGACACAAGCTGGAACAAGGGTAATTCCAATTAGAGCCATGGACTGCACTCTTCCCTGTGAGAGTGGTGTATCCCTGGGACAGGATGAATGGGTGGTGGGCTCAGCATCCTTGGTCTCCATCCCTCAGAGTGATGGCCCTGAGCAGCCTGATCTGGCTTTGGAGTTAGCCCTGCCCTGCCCTGCACAGGGGTTGGACTATGAACTCCAGAGGTGCCTCCCAACTGACACCTTTGTGTAGTTTCTGCTTTATTAGGGAGCTGATCTATGACATAACTGTGGATGCACTCCTGAAGACTGGAGGACATTTGGCTGGCCACTCCAACTGGGGCTGTGCTGCACCAATACCCCTTCTGAGGAACCTGGCTGGGAGGGAAGCTGTGAAATGGCAGATGATGCAGAGAAGTACCAAATCAGATAAGACTAAAAGTAGAGGTGCACCAAGTATCTTTAAACTCCAATTTGCCTCTCTGATACCTTCCTCCAACTACTTTTTACAAGTCTGTTAAAAATGTATTAGCAAAGCTGTCACGGGTTTCCAAAGGGAGAAAAGAAATGCCTGAGCAGCAGCTAGCCATCAGAGTGAGATTGGACTCTAGAGCCAGAGTCCAATCCCACCTGTGGAGAGGCATATTCAGCACTGCATTGCAGGTCCAGGTTCCCCTGAATCTGATCTCTGATCAATGCTTGTCATCCTGTTTTTAGAATGCTGGCAAGCTGCAGAGCATGACAGCTGAGTGGTGGAGAGGGAGAATGTCTAATGATGGAAGGAACTCCAAGAGAGAAGAACTGAGCATGAAGTTTAGAGAACCTCCAATGTCAATGTTTCCCTGGTTGGGTTCCATGGCCTGCAGCTACCCTGGCTCCATGGCAGACCAAGAACTGTTCCCACGGGTGCTGAGCAAGACCTAGGCTTGCACCAAGGCAGCCAGGAGACATCTCTAGTGCTCTGGACTCCAGGGTCACCATCAGTGGTAGCACTAATGCTTTGTAGCTGTTGTGGATCCTCCTTTCTGAGGGCTGCTGTCCAACTGCAGTTATGGTTTGCCATGGTGCTGGGTTTGGGGCTGGTGTGTACATTGTCATGCTCAGTGCAGGAGGGAAACAAGGCGCTGAAAGAGCCCAAGGGGTAGAGAGAACTGGAGTGATGGAGCCCAGTCTGCAGCGTAATGGCCAGTCCTGGGCGGCATACAGCTGCTGTGGTCTACTCCACCTGCCAAAGCACTTGTATCCTGCCCCTTTCCCCTTTGCCTGAGGAGCACCGCAGCTCTGGGGCACCCGGAGGCTGTGGTGCATCTCAAGAGTCAAGAGCTTGAGCACCCTGGGGTGGAGCAGTGTCTGCTCCTCCAGCCCCAAGCTGCAAGGCTCAGAGTAAGGCAACTACAGGGCTGGGAGAGCAAAAGAGAGTGAGGCCACCAGTGCCTCAATGTCCCCTGTGCGTGGCACTCAGGGGTGACTCACCTGACCAGGAAGAATGACCTCAGCTGGGTCACCCCTGATGAAGCTCACCATGCTCCTGCAGAATGCAAGCTTCACCAGGACCTCGGAGGAGAGCTTTGCCACCCCAGCTGTGAGCAAACCATGCAATGGTTTGGAGGTGGCGATGGGCCAAATGTACACAGCTATGTGGCAACCTGGATTCCTGTCCCAGTGCCCCGTGTCACCAGGGCTGCTCTGGAAGTGACCACATATTCCATCATGTTGAGTACTCAAGGACTTCAAGGCATACCTGAGAGGTCAGCAACTGAATGAGATCCCATGTGGAACAAGGCAATAAACAACTCTTCGAGGCTGTTTTGCTGAAGTTTTGTTTTCATGCAGGATCAGTAGGACATTGTCATTCCAGGTTTTCACCTGGACATTTTTGGAAAGCTATGCAAGCAGTTTTGCGCTGATGCCAGAAGAGCAAGTCACCCTGATGTTACGCTTGAGAGAACTCAAAGCCTTGGGGCCTCGGGAAAAGAGGGGAGCTGCCTCCAAGAGCATCGACCAAGGCTCTAAAAGACACGACGCAGAGGAGCTGTGGGATGAGTAGGGCCCTAACATCCTGGGCTTGGGTGATTTGTGTGTTTGGGGGAACAATGCAGTCACTCACCTAATTTTGCAGGAGAGAAGTGGGGAAGCTTTCAGAAGACCCTGGACAAAGCCCTGTGCAGCCATCCAGCCCAGACCGCTGCTGCATGTCCTAGGATAACCTCAGGACATGTGGGCAGAGTCAAGACCGGTAAGGCAGGACTCCTGCTCTGGGCTGGATTGCCAAAGGCTGAGCGTTGGCTGCCCGCAGGGTTATTGATGCTTTACTGAGTGTGCAGGACCTGGCCATGAGGGTGCTACAGCTGGGTGCAGTCACTCCAGATCTCATGGGTGGAGGAGTGCTAAGCTAGACAGACAGTCAGGAGGAACTTCTCATCTGACTCCATGGTCAACAACCCAGCACCAGCTCTTTCTCCCTGAAACCTCCCAGGATGGCATTTTTTGACCAGGTTGCACATCACAACCCAACGGACAAGAAGATGGGGACGTTGTCAGTTTGCAATTAGCAGCAGGTTCCTGGAGGGGCAGTAGGACTCAGACAGCCTCATGCCTTCAAAGAGCTGGGGGGGGTCTGTGAGACTCATGCCAGTGAAAGGGATCAGGGACTCACCTGTACTCCAGGCTCATGCACTCAAAGAGCCGGGTGAGGGTCGGGTCGATGCTCCGGGGATCAGCTGGTTCGGGCTCAGTGCGGTGGTGGCGCCGGCGGGGCAGTGAGTCGCTGTGCGGGGACGACACCATGAAGTGGCCACTGTGGATGACCTGGGAGGGGTTCTGCACCCCAGTGCCGGGTCCTGTGCTGCCTGCGGCTGCATCCTCAGAGTCGGAGTCGGAGTCGGAGACGGGGCATGGCCCAACCGGGGGCTCTGGGAAGGGTCCTGGCAGCCCCACCTGAGCCCCTGCCATCACCTGGCTCCTGCTGAGGAACACTTATTGGCCTTCCCCGGTGCTGTGCTCCATGTCCTGGTTGTGCCGGAGCCCTACGGGCCCTGTGCTGGCATTGAGCACATGCTGTTGGGCTCCCCGACACAGGACACCCACACCACACCTCCTTGGCGCTGCTTGCCCCACCCTGGACCACGTTGTCTCCTCCGCACTCCGAGGTACAGCTTTCGGTTTGTTGGGGCAGCTTGCCGCCAGCCCTATTTATAGTGGTGGTGGCTGATCCCGCCCATGGCGCACCGTCAGCCAGGCCACAGCCACCGGCCACCAGCCACTGGCCACGGGACCTGCAGCTCTGTGCTGCTGTCCTGCTCTTGCAATGCAGCCAGTGGCTCCCTGGCTTTTATTTCCCTGCAAACCCAGGGAGGAGCGCCTGCAGGTCCCCTGTCCCCCCCTCGCCAGTGGCAGTGGGTTCGCTGGCAGTCGGCTCTGTTTACCCTGGTTAATCGGCGGGGAGAGGAGCGGGCAGTATTTACCTAGTGCCTCTGCCCTAATGTATCTCCCTGCACTTCCAAGGGAACAAATACAGATTAAGGGATACAAACAAGTAAAATTATAGCAACGGGCACCCAGCTCAGCACAAAGCACGCTGAGTCGCTGAGCCGTGTGCCAAGCTGAGAAACAGCCCAAGCAAAAGCCTTCTTCGAGATGGGACCCAGCAGGAGAGGGGATGCGATGATGAGCTCGGGTGCGGTGGGGTTTACACACCTTGTAGTCATGCAGTCCTTCAGATGGATTACCTTCACTTCCAGGGTGTCCCAAGATGCAGGCAGGCAGGGCTTGATACACCAGCCACCCTAACAGGGTTCTACTCTAGGTTTCCACTGCATCAATAAGCCGAAAGGAGAATCTTCTATCAAGTCCTTTTTATTAGTAGCGCTACAGCTCAAGCTGGGTGCGTCCAAAGAGGGACCCAAAACAAAGAAAATCCTGGGCAATGATGCCCTTACAATCTATCCATCGGCCCCTCAGGAGCGCCTTGGCCCAGTGGCAATTTCTGGTCTGGGGTCCTCCTGTTCCTCACTGGGTTCTTTCTCTGTCTCCAGGCAGCTGCTAACTGTTCTGACCCTGTTGGGTTGCAGGCTCTGCTGAGGGTTGTAGCTTCCTTATCTCCTGGTTTGCACTGGTCTCAGGGCCTTCCTTTGTGGAGCTAAACAGAAGTTCAAAATAAATTCAACTTATCTCAGTGAAAGTTCGCAGCTTGCAGCCTAAGGCTTCAGCAGCTTTAGCTACTGATGCTGGGCGAGTTCTCAATAAGTGGTACACCAATGTGGCCTAATGCCAAGTGATTCATTTTACTTAAACTAAACAACTAATATTGCATATTCTTTTACACAGTGCCCTCCCCTACACCGTGCCAGTTGGTCTTTGATAAATACAGAGAGCTCTTGCCAGGGCTTAGTCACACCGGTGTCCCAAGCATCTCCTTAGCGACCAGAGCCACAGGGGCACAAAGTGGATATAATTTCAGGATTAAATCACTTTTTTTTCTCTCTAGTTTCTGGCAACATCTTCCTCAGCTCCACACACACCTGGAGAGAACCCAGGAGCTAACATAGCTGGCCACAGCTGTCTGAACTCTAATCCAGCTTGCTGGTGGAGCAGAGCACCCCCCACACCACATAGGCTCCGGTGGTGCTCCGGAGGAGAGAGCAGCCATCCATGGTATTTTTCAGAGCTGGAAGAAGAATATGCAGAAATAGATGTTTTGGATAGTTTTCACACGGATTGGTGCAAACCGCACCTAGGAACCATTTCTTCATTTTTTCAGCCAGATTTGTGCTGCTCTGTAGCTCCCTTTTGCTCCTCTGTGATTCATTACAACCATGTCAGCCTGTCCCAAGCTGCCTGTCAAGATGCTGAAGAGAGAATTAATTTTAAAAGTACTGTCTGCAGACGTTTTAAAGCAATAATGGGCATGTGGGTGTCATGGGAAATTAAGAATTAGGCAAGCCACAAGAGAAACAAAGATATCAGAGATGCGCAGGCTTTCTGGGAGCACTTTTCTGTGCAGGGCTGTGCTATGCAAAAGGCACTTTCCAGGTTTTTGCCCAGGATCATTTGCCATCTGTTCACTGGCTGCAGGCAGACTTTGGTCCTCTGGGACAACGTATGTCTGAGGGAAGCAGAGAAATACATCAGTGAGGATTTTAGGGACATCCTAACTCCTTCATCCCTGGTCCAGCATCTCTTGTGCTGCGGAGGAGGGAAATCTCATGGGCACCCAGCCTGGGGGAGGGGGTGATGGGTCCCACAGAGGAACCTTCCCCAGCAGACAGTGGACCAGAGCAGAGGTCCCATACCAACAGGCAGCTGCAGTCCTGAAGGATTTTGTAAGTGGCTGTTTAGATCCTAAAATGTGCGATGCCAAGTACAGCCATATGGATGCAACACAGTCTCAGAGTTGTGGTCCTGAGTGCAATGCAAGATGGATGTCCCAAAGGTGTCCCAAAACATGCACTGTCACATGGGAGGTTAGAGATCAGAGCGCCCAGAGCAATTCACCAAAATGATCGCAAGACCATGCACAGAGGCAGGGAGAAATGGCCTCTGTGTCTGGGAGAACAGTGTTGGAACAGAGAGGTCGGATTTATTGAAGAATTTTGTTGAAGAAACTGGGAGTCGACAGGACCTGCACAAGCAGAGACATCTCCATTTGACCCAGAGAGAGCCAGGAAGCTGGTGTGTGTAGTCACAACAGTGATGGATGGGGATGGCTTGGACTCAAACCTGAAGGGCATTCAACACAGGCAGAGGAGCACACAGCTCCCACCTTAGTCCCTCAAGATGGGGATCCTTTGAAGTCCTAAAAATTCAAAATCCTAACAAAAAGGACCAGGACTGAAACTGCTAGCATTGCTACCAGGAATAAGGTAGAGAGGAGAAATATATAATGAAAATTTTATTATCAGCCAAGCAGCAAAGTTGGTGGCCTGATTATGTCATGTTCAGGGAGACCAGAGAAACTGTATGGGTAGAAACAGTGGGAAACATCCATTGAGAGCTTGTTAAAAGGAGCTTAAGAGGAGCAGACAAAAGGGTAAAATGTAGGGAGGGCATTTACAGACATCGCGGTGGAGGTTTGGAATAAATGTAATCAACTTAACCACAGCCAGATACGGAGAGGGTCAAAAGAGCCAGCAGGGACACCAAACAAAGGAGAGATTATTGGATGCCATTGAGAAGGTGGAAATCACCTTCAAAGAACAAGAAAAATAGAAAACATTATGAATTTCAGCAAGTGGAATGTAAAACCACAGAAGTCAGGCCAAAAATAGTTTTACCAAGCAATTTGAGAAAGACAAAAACTAATACTAAAACCTTGTTCACAGCTATCAGAAGCAGAGAGTCTTCCAGAGCATCTGTAGTCTCTGTAGAAGATGCACCAGGATGCTGAGGGCAGAGGGAGGAGCACTGCGCAAATTCACCACAGTGCTGGTGATGGGGAGCCTGCCGTGCTGAGGCTGCCATGCCATGGGAGCAGTGGTGCAGACTATTTCCATTGCCAGGCCCTTGCGGGGTTGGTTGCAGGAATTAAAATTGAGATGTCAGCGCAAAGAAGTCACAGACCTCATCCATCAAATGAATAGCTCCAGACCTCCGGGACCAGAGATCATCACCTGGGCACCTTCGCCAAACTCCACCAGAACATTTCAGATCTGCTGCAACCTATTACTTGCCTACCAGGGGAATGGACGTGGCACAGATAATGTCCATTTTGAAAGGCTCAGTCACTCATCTTAGGATCTCCAGAGTTAGAGGTCTCATTTCTGCACCCAGTGAAGTGGTAGAAATTGTAATAAACATGGAATTTGTGGGAACTCGTGGATAAATACAACAACTTGAGGGAGAGTCAATATAGCTTTTTAGAAGAAAGTCATGGCTCAGAAATCTGTTGCAGTTGTTGGAGGGAGAGCCAGTGTATGTGGCCAACAGTGATCTGATCAATATGTTATCCAAAAAAGCTTTTAAGAAGATCTATCATAGAGTTTTCAAAGACACTGAGCTATAACAGATCAATAGCTTGCAAAGCTGGAAAGCAAAGATAAGACTAATTTTCACAATGCAGAGAGATTGCCTGTGGGATACTACAAGTATCTCTACTGGGGCCAAATTTTTCAGCATATTCATAAGTGATGGAGAAAAGGCACAAGTGATGGAGAAACATGATGGAGAAAATAGCACGGTGACATTTTCTGGTGGAGCAAATAGTTCAGAACAGTCATATCTAAAGGTGGCTGGAGAAAGCCGCAGAAGGCTTTCAGGCTGCAGAGTGAGTGAGTGATAAAATGGCAAATGAAATTCAATGTTGATAAGGATAAAGAGAAGTACATCCCTAACTGTATGCAGTGGTGGACTCTAAATTAGCTATTACCATTCAAGAGGCACATCTGAGGGTAATTGTAGACAAATCTCTGAAAACATCAGCTGAAAGTTCAGGAGCAATTAAAAAGTAAAAAGGCTTTGGAAATTGCAAGGAAAGGAATGAGCTTTCAGCAGAAAACATCACTTGCCACTGTAACAAAGCAGAGGGTGCTCACAGCTGTGTGCAGTTTTGGTGTCTGTCTCAGAAAAGATGTAGGAGAACTGGAAAAAGTCACAGAGACGAGGAACCCGAGTTGTCAGAGGTGGAAACGGCATCCCTGCAAGAAAAGGCTGAGTAGATCAGGTCTGCCCATGTTAGAAAACAGATGAATGAAGGGGTAAGCACTAGGAATGTAGACACTGATGCAGCAGGAGTAGAGTGGTTGGAGAATGGTTATTCAGCACTTTTCACAACACAAGAGCTAAGGGCACCAGGCAAAAGTATGGCCTCATAGGCCAAAAGTTCACCTCAGGTTGTTGTAAAACCAGAAGTCTAAATGGACTCAACAAGGAGTTAGTTCAACTGATGGAGGACCAGAACTATTATAATTCACAGTTCACGTATTCTGTGTGTGCAGAGGAAAGCTGATTCACGGGAA